GAAATCTTTAGAAAAATCAAAAGAATTTCTTCTTTTTTTTATATATAAAATTAATAAACGAACTTTTTCCAATTGGCATCAGCTGCTTCTAATTTTTGTTGAGGTTTTTCATAATTATCTCGAAGTTCAGTCATTGTTTGACGAATAGTTGACTTTTATAAATAAGAATAAAAATAAAAAAAAAGACAAGGTTCTATAATTACTTGTTTATCTCTGGCTTGTTCAATAATTTTTTTTAATTGTTCAAGCCATTCTTTCCTTTTTGAATCAATAAAATCATGTATTTGAACTAAATCATCAATTGTTTGATTTTTAAAACCGATGAAGCTCCACTTGTTCCATATGGTAAACGATAAGAACGTGCAACATCATTATCAATACTCTTATTTAACTAAAAATAAATTTCATTTGTTTTTTTTTTCAAAATAAATATTTTTAATTAACTTACAAAATCTTTATCGGTTTTCCAAAGATCAGATAATACTTTACAAGCATCTCGAATATAACGAACTCGATTGTAACAATCAGGTACATCATCATTTCTTTATTAAAAACAATAAATAAATAATAATATTATATATTCAAATAATTTCAATCGATATTTAAATATTTTATTATAATTTATTAAATTTATTTTAATTCGATTTCAAAAACAATCGATCATTGATTTTTCGATAGATTTTATATATATATATATAAACTTGTTTTTAAAAAATGATCAATCTTTAATTAAAATAATTATTTATAAGAATTTTCATTATTTGATTTTAATGATTAACGAAGATTTTCTATTTAGAATTTTTTGTTTTTTTATTTCATCAATATTTATCCATGATGAGAGAGAAGAGAATTATCTATTCTATTTCTATTTCTATAAATTAAATTGTTTAAATAATAACAAATTAAATGCAAAAATATTCTATATGAAAGTTGTTCTCACTTGCCCAAATCGAAAAACTCTCGTTAAATTCAATTGAAATTTGTCTTAAAGATTAATTAGTCAAATTAACATAGATATTTAAAAAATTCGATTTGATTTTTTTTGTTTGTTCTCTTTCTTCTTAAATGTAAAATTTTTCAAAAAAAACTAAAATCTTATTTTCGATACATTTTAATAATTGATTTAATAAGAGAATATTTATTTTTGAATAATATATTATTCTTCGATATTTTTCATTTCATTAATAAAGAAAAAACAAATTCCTCTTGATTTGTTTCAATATAAAATATTCTCGATCTCAATTGACTGGAAATAATTATTCAATTATTTGAATAATCAAACAATAATAAACCGATGAATATATTTTAGAAAAATTTTTAAGAAATAAATTTTATTGAATATAAATCGAATAAAGAATTATTCAAATGATTGAATTAATTTAATAGAATATTTAGTATTTTAATATGAAATTTAACGCTTAAGAGCCCAATGTTCTTTCCAAGGGACATTGTGAAAATTTCAATAAAACATGCAATAATACACTGTATACAATATTCTTTGTTTTCTTCGACTTAAATGATCTTGTGGCTCATAAAAAAAAGAGAAAAAGTAATTTTGAGTAACTGTCAGAGAAAACAATATGTTTTTTTTTTAGGCTTGTAATTTTTTCATTTTGAAACATCTTTTTATTGCTGAATACGAGAAGAAAGTCTGTTTTTTTTTAAGCGGTATCGCGAGGTACATCGTTAGACTATCGTA